GTACTACCCAGCCAGCCTATAGGCCTAGTTCGTCTTCCTCTAGCTCTAGGCCAGCCTGCATTACAATAGTGTACATTGTTTATCTCTCAGGGGAGAGACCACCCACCCTTGCAAGCACCACAAAACGGCTCATTCTTCGCTGCCAACTAGACTCGTGCAGACGCATTTATTAGCCGCAAAGCTTACCATTCCAGGCCGTGATTGGTTGATAAACACAATGTGGAATCAGGTGATTTGCAATCTGATCAATGACGAACACGCTTTCATAGGAAACCCGCCGTAGTGTTAAGAAATATGATAAAAATAAACATACTTTTTCACATATTTCTCGACAATATTTTCGCAAAAACTCTTCATACTTTAAATTCCCCACGCCTTATCTTCCATATTATTGCAAGATCGGCCTAATCGCGTCACAAACGAAGGAAGAGATAGAAAAACAAATTACTTCAAAATTCACTCAGAATCACCATATAAGCCCTCTCTCTCAGAGAGTGGGCTAAAAACAAGGCCTTATTTTGTACTTACACTTTGCCAAGCATGGAACGGACACAACTCGTCTTGCCTACCCCTTCTTTGCCAAGGAACATGACTCTAGAATTAACCATCGTAATTTCCCCATTCTGGACTTCATATGTGAATGCTTTAATGGCTTCAGGACCTCTCGCTAATATTTCTCCTGGAACTGATAGCTCTTATGGATAAAAAATATAACAAATATTATTTAGTATACTACAGTCATATTCTATGCTACATATTTCTTCCATCCATTTTAAAGTTTACATAAACATACTGTGATTATTTTGTTCAAAAAAAAATACCATCACAGTACAAACTGATTTCTGAAAATAACACATCAAAATATGTAATTTTATATCAAGGTGTTGAAACACTGAGGGACTTAACTACTTCTAGAACATAAACAGGTCAAACAGAAAATAACATTAAAATAAAAAGCTATAAGAATAATACAGGAACTGAAATATATGAGTACTTGAAATGTATAGTATTCTTATGAACCATATGCATATCACAGGATTGATTTTTGCCCTTTGACACGACCTCCAGATAAAAATGATTGATAATTTTTTACTTACATTGTACATTAACCTTTTTAATTTTGTAGTATTTTTTGCCTCAAATTTTCAAAATGTTAAGTGAAGTTGATTTTTTTAAAATTTTTGTTTAATTTACTTTTCTATTCTTTTTACTTTTGATTCATCGTTGCTGTGAAGAATGCAGATAATTTGATCAATGGTTCTACTAAGTCTATGTTACAGCCAGACTACTGAAATAACTGTAATGCTGTAAAAATAAATAATAATAGTTGGACTTAGCACATCCATGCAGAAAAGCCTCTATGCATGGATCGCATCCATCGAGTGCATGTAATAGGTGTGGCTTTGTTTATTGTTTCTTTCAGTGACAAGTTTTGTGGGCAGTGTACACTTGCAATGGGATATACATGGGAGATCCAGAGATATTAACAAGGGGGAAGGGGCTGAGTCCAAAACATCAGAAATCTTTTTCCTCTGAAGTGGTATTTCCAGCATCTTGCAGGAGCGATTACTGTCATACAATTGTTTTGGAATATTTAGGATACGCTGTTGTGCCATTGCTTGATTTCAAGCATAAAAATTATAGTAAAATACAGTTTAAAATATTGAGCTTTCCATTAATATTAAAAATATATATTGTTTATTTACAGGTATGTTTCATTTTCATCTTATGCAATACTTGGTTAAAATTAATTTAAATTTACAATAAAATTAATATGATTGACTAATTAAATATTTACCATATTTCTTCCACTTTAAAAAAGGCATCCTAAAAAAAGGGGCTGGGGTTAGGACCCACAAGACATCCACTGAGATGGCACCCAACCAGCTATTAGTACTTAAGGTATAGCCATGTCTAGAAAGCTATATAGCTGAGGCTTATGACATGGTTCTTCCAAAAGGCAAGCTCTGTGATTTTTGCCAATGAGGTTCAGGAGTATTTAACGTACAACAGATAACTTACTTATAAGCAATTTTTTAAGTTCATCTTTCTTTTCCTTCTTTGTTGATACTTCGTATTGACTACATTCATTACGATCATAATAATCAAGAGGGGTACTCCCGTCCTGTAATAACAAGATCATACGAAAAATTATAGTATATTTCACTGGATGGCAGCTGCACACTACATCAGCACAACAAAGGGAAATATTTTAGCTTTGAAGATTTATAAATGATAATGGCGAAAATAATAATTCAAAGGAATAACCAACACTATCGGTATCACAATATTTATATCAAATATTGGTACAAGAATAAGTGATGGAATTCATTCGTATAGAATGGACTAAATGCTCTTATTATTATTTGGTTGGTTTTGGTTATAAGTAATGTTTGTAGTATTGTAATAGAGACATTGACTAATCCTTCTGAATCATTTCTTTTTTCTATACATTACTCTATCTTTCTTGTAGACCGAGGCGCCAAATCTTATCAAGCACAGTGCTGTTTCTCGCTGGGCATCATAAGTACCCTGAGCACGTAGACAGCAATGTAGTGGTGTTTGTCCAGCAACACCTACAAAATGATAATCAATGTCAGAACACATGAAAACTAATTACTGTATAAACTGAGAAGAAATAATGCAATGGCAGATCTAGAAATTTTGAAATAGAGGGGCCCAGGAAAGACAGAGGGTCTACACCACCTCAGCCCCACCATGCTGGAGATAAAATAGGAAAATTTACAATTATGGCACCTAGATAGCTGGAAATGAAACTCTCAGACTTAAAATTTGAAAATTTCCTTTTTTTCTTCAAATTTGAAGGGAGGGCCCAGTCCCCCTTAAATCGAAAAATTTAAGTGGGGCTGGGCCAGTGTAATGTATAATTATTATTCTGAATGATCACTTACTGTAACTGTATTAATAATATTAAAACAATGATTATAATACCAATACAGTAATAACAACAACAATAATGGCCAATATAATTAATCATTACAGTCTTGTCTAAATTGATTGTGCAGGGTCCTTATAGTGGTGACACCAAAAGGTAATCACTTTTTCCAAAGAGTGCACTGAATTGTGCAGCATAAAATAATAATAATGAATAATTATAAGACTCATAAAGCGCACATACTGTATCTAATGCAGTAGCGCTCAAGGTGCTACAGGAGGAGAAACCAAAATTACATTGAACCTTAAATCTGTATCAGAAAAAGAAACACCACACACATCATTATTGCTTTTATGCCTTTTTGCTTGGAATTTTAAGACCTCTTTTATCCCATTTTTATATGTCTGTTTTTATGTAAATATCTTTATCTGTACATTGTATAATCCTATTTATAGGCATATAGGTTAATATATTTTAATTCATATATTCTACCATTTACGTTTTAAGATTTCATATGATTCACTTATAAGTAGTTAGGTTGTTCTACTATGTACGCTTAATTAAGAATTGTTTAATCTTTAACACCACTATCTCAATACCTGACTACTTTGATCTCTGTCGGTTTTTACTTTGTATATTACAGCATAAAAGATTAGATAATTGGCCTGTAATCCATCTACATCACTATTGTATTGTTTATATTGTACAGTATACAAC